GCGTGCAGGAGGCAGCTGATCGATGTTTCTCTCTCATCATCGATGTTTCTAACTCTCTATCCCTCTTCCTTCCTCTCTGTAAAAAAATCAATAAAATACATATTTTTTAAAAAATAATCTACATATAGAAAACCCTAAGAGACCGTTAGGGCTGAACAACCAGAATGACCAGTCGACCAGTCGCTATGACGCGCACCGACCACCAGGGGGCAGACGCTCAAGGTAGGAGCTGTCCCCTGGTGGTCAGTGCGCACCCACAGCGAACCTCCCTTGGACCCTCCCCCCGGCTGGCCAGCTCCACTGGTAGACCTCGATCTCCAGCCAGGCCGATGGACCCCACCTGTGCACAAATGCGTGCACCGGGCCTCTAGTAATAAAATAAAAAAGAGAGAGAACTAAGAGTTAACGTTTTGGTTCAGGGCATTAAGAATCCCAAATTTTGCCGGAACCGATTTGGCTCAGTGGATAGAGCGTCGGCCTGCGGACCGAAGGGTCCCGGGTTCGATTCCAGGTCAAGGGCATGGACCTTGGTTGTGGGCACATCCCCAGTAGGGGGCGTGCAGGAGGCAGCTGATTGGTGTTTCTCTCTCATCCATGTTTCTAACTCTCTATCCCTCTCCCTTCCTCTCTGTAAAAAAAATCAATAAATTATATTTAAAAAAAAAGAATCCCAAATTTCAATTTGTTTGCAGTGGACACGCCCATCTCTGTCCCCGGGTGTGATGGACAGCAATCACCTTGGCTAGTTCCGCCCCCCACACCCCAACTTTACTGGGCATGTGTCCATCTTCCTTTTCTTGGACCCCTGGGGAGAGTCAAGTTGTAACGTCCTGCCAAAATGACCTACTTATGACATCTGGCTTTCTCTTTGCTCCTTTCCTGTTATTAATATCTAATTACAGCCCCGGCCGGTGTGGCTCAGTGGTGAGCGTCGACCTAGGAACCAGGAGGTCCCGGGTTCGATTACCGGTCAAGGGCACATGCCCGGGTTGCGGGCTCCATCCCCAACCAGTAGGGGGCGTGCGGGAGGCAGCCGGTCTATGATTCTCTCTCCTCATGGATGTTTTTCTCTCTCTCCCTCTCCCTTCCTTTCTTTTTAAATATCAATAAAACATATTTTTAAAAGCCGGGTTGGCGTGGAAGGGAGAAAAGAAGAAAGAAAGAAAGAAAGAAAGAAAGAAAGAAAGAAAGAAAGGAGAGAGAGAGAGAGAGGAAGAAAGAAAAAGCTTTGCTAATTAAGTTACAAAAAAATTTTTTTTTAAGTAAACATTTGGCTGCAGCTCTAGCCAGTTTGGCTCAGTGGATAGAGCATCGGCCTCTGGACTGAAGGGTCCCGGGTTCGATTCCCGGTCAAGGGCACAGGCCCGGGTTGCAGGCTCCATCCCCAACCAGTAGGGGGCGTGCAGGAGGCAGCCGGTCCGTGATTCTCTCTAAAAAATAAATAATAATAAATAAAAATTAAAAAGATAAAGTAAATAAAAAACAACAAAAAAACAAAAAACACAAAAGGCAAGGCCTAGCTGGGTCGGTAAAAGTGACGAAGTTGGGAGGCTTTTAACGGGATCTGCCCTGTATTTCATTATTTCAACCCCAGGTCCTCTTGGGGGATTACTTATGCGCTCTCACTGCCCCCTGCTGGCCGTTCCTAGAATTTTCAACTCTGAGTTCTTTCCCCCCCTCCCTTCCCCTTCCCTCCCCCACAACTTAATTTTTTTAAATTTTTTTTAATGCAGTAGAACAGCGGTTCTCAACCTGTGGGTCGCGACGCCTTTGGGGGTCAACCAAGACCATCGGAAATCACATAGATCATTACATATTGTTTTTGTGATTGATCACTGTGCTTTCATGATGTTCGATTGGTAACCATGAAATTGGGGGTCACCACAACATGAGGAACTGTATTAGGGGGTCGCGGCCTTAGGGAGGTTGAGAACCACTGCAGTAGAGGGAGGGGAATGTTCATGGGGTGTTTTGTTTGTTTGTTTAAATATATTTTATTGATTTTTTACAGAGAGGAAGGGAGAGAGATAGAGAGTTAGAAACATCGATGAGAGAGAAACATCGATCAGCTGCCTCCTGCACGCCCCCCACTGGGGATGTTCCCGCAACCAAGTCACATGCCCTTGACCAGGAATCGAACCTGGGACCCTTCAGTCCGCAGGCCGATGCTCTAACCACTGAGCCACATCGGCCAGGACAGGGTCCTTTTTATTTTTTTTTAGAAAGTTACTATTTATTGTTATTGTTTGTTTGTCTTTACTGTTGTTCACAGGACATCTCTTATTTTAATTTTTTTCATCTTATTTTATTTTACTTTAAAAATGTGTTTTTATTGACTTCAGAGAGGAAGAGAGAGAGAGAGAGAGAGAAACATCCATGATGAGAGAGAATCATGCATCGGCCGCCTCCTGCACGCTCCCTCCTGGGGATCAAGCCTGCAACCCAGGCCTGTGCCCTTGACACCCTGCAGTCCACAGGCCAATGCTCTATCCAGTGAGCCACACCAACCAGGGCTTAAATATTTTTTATTGATTTCAGAGAGAAGAAGGGAGAGTGAGAGAGATAGAAACATCCACGATGAGAGAGAATCATGGATCTTCTGCCTCCTGCACGCCCCCTACTGGGGACCCAAGGATATTTTTCCATTCATTTTTATTTATTTAATTTTTTAGGAATATTTTTTTATTGGTTTCAGAGAGGAAGGGAGAGAAAGAGAGAGAGAGAAACGTCCATGATGAGAGAGAATCATGGATCTTCTGCCTCCTGCATGCCCCCTACTGGGGACCCAAGGATATTTTTCCATTCATTTTTATTTATTTAATTTTTTAAGAATATTTTTTATTGGTTTCAGAGTGGAAGGGAGAGAAAGAGAGAGAGAGAAACGTCCATGATGAGAGAGAATCATGGATTGGCTGCCTCTTGCATGCCCCCTACTGGGGATCGAGCCCACAACCCGGGCATGTGCCCTTGACAGGGGATGTTTCTCTCTCTCTCTCTCTCTCTCTCTCTCTCTCTCTCTCTCTCTCTCCCTCTCTCTCTTCTACAAGCATGCCCTGTACATGGGCATGGGGGAGCTTTCTGCACGATGCATGTCCTAACCCTGATTGTGGTGACGGTTGCACCAGAAGCGACTGGATTGTAACTGCCTCTGAAATCAATAGAAAAAAAATATATATATATATATTTAAAAAGAGTTAGTCATGGCCCCATGTAGATACAAGGACATTAGATATGGTGTTGGGTGTAAGACCCAGACGGGGATGTAAGCGAAGATGTTGGTGATCATAACACTTTCTCCCTCATCTACCCCCTTTCATCCTGGCGGCAGAGAAAAAAATACAATAAACGACATGTTTTCCGTTGAGCTGTGTTCATTTGCATGAATGTCTGTGCTAATCTCATCTTGTTATTTATTTTTTATTTTTTTTTTAACAGATGACAGGTTGCCCTGAAATCGAGACTCCGGCTGGAGTGATGCCTGAGCCAAATCCACCACCTTTTCCCCAATTGGCCGAAGTCGCAGAGCCCCGAACCGCCTCCGTACAGCTCACTGAAACAGTTAAGCTTGGCCGTCTCGCTCGGGGTCCTGGTTCTGTTGGCGTGCCTGTCCATTGACGGCCAAAAAATGCCCTGTTTTATGTTTATGACTTTTCCTTAAATATAAACTAGAGGCCTCGGTGCACGGATTCGTGCACCGGTGGGGTCCCTCGGCCTGGCCTGCGGGGATCGGGCCGAAACCGGCTCTCCGACATCCCCCGAGGGGTCCCGGATTGCGAGGGGGTGGTTTGCGGGTGACGCACCCCAGAATCGGGCTCCCTCCTCTCTTGTTTGGGGTGTGTCACCCGAGAAATGCAGCTGCCAACTCACCGCAGCTCAACAGCTCCTGCGTTGAGCGTCTGCCCACTGGTGGTCAGTGAAGGTCATAGCTACTGATTGGAGCATCTGCCCCCTGGTGGTCAGTGCACGTCACAGCTACCGGTCAGAGCGTCTGCCCCCTGGTGGTCAGTGCAAATCATAGCTACCAGTCGGAGCCTCTGTCCCCTGGTGGTCAGTGCACGTCACAGCTACCGGTCGGAGCGTCTGCCCCCAGGTGGTCAGTGTAAGTCATAGCTACCGGTTGGAGCGTCTGCCCCCTGGTGGTCAGTGCAAATCATAGCTACCAGTCGGAGCCTCTGTCCCCTGGTGGTCAGTGCACGTCACAGCTACCGGTCGGAGCGTCTGCCCCCAGGTGGTCAGTGTAAGTCATAGCTACCGGTTGGAGCGTCTGCCCCCTGGTGGTCAGTGCAAATCATAGCTACCAGTCGGAGCCTCTGTCCCCTGGTGGTCAGTGCACGTCACAGCTACCGGTCGGAGCGTCTGCCCCCAGGTGGTCAGTGTAAGTCATAGCTACCGGTTGGAGCGTCTGCCCCCTGGTGGTCAGTGCAAATCATAGCTACCAGTCGGAGCCTCTGTCCCCTGGTGGTCAGTGCACGTCACAGCTACCGGTCGGAGCGTCTGCCCCCAGGTGGTCAGTGTAAGTCATAGCTACCGGTTGGAGCGTCTGCCCCCTGGTGGTCAGTGCAAATCATAGCTACCAGTCGGAGCCTCTGTCCCCTGGTGGTCAGTGCACGTCACAGCTACCGGTCGGAGCGTCTGCCCCCAGGTGGTCAGTGTAAGTCATAGCTACCGGTTGGAGCGTCTGCCCCCTGGTGGTCAGTGCAAATCATAGCTACCAGTCGGAGCCTCTGTCCCCTGGTGGTCAGTGCACGTCACAGCTACCGGTCGGAGCGTCTGCCCCCAGGTGGTCAGTGTAAGTCATAGCTACCGGTTGGAGCGTCTGCCCCCTGGTGGTCAGTGCAAATCATAGCTACCAGTCGGAGCCTCTGTCCCCTGGTGGTCAGTGCACGTCACAGCTACCGGTCGGAGCGTCTGCCCCCAGGTGGTCAGTGTAAGTCATAGCTACCGGTTGGAGCGTCTGCCCCCTGGTGGTCAGTGCACGTCATAGCTACCAGTCAGAGCGTCTGCCCCCTGGTGGTCAGTGCCTGTCATAGCTACCAGTCGGAGCGTCTGCCCCCTGGTGGTCAGTGCACGTCATAGCTACCAGTC